TTGTCTCTCCCTCTCCCTTCCACTGTCTTTAAAAGTTAATGGAAAAATATCTTCATATGAGGGTTAACAACAACAACAAAGTGAGAGAGACTGCAGAGAAGAATCCCAGTGTAATCCTTCAGAGATGAGACACTGAATTAATGTAGTGACCTTGAGAACAACTGTGAATGAGGTTAAACAGGCTTTTTACATTTCCTATATAAAGCCACAAGCTTTTCTAGGAATAAAAGATTATTCCTCTTTATTTGCCATTTTTTAAATGCAAAATATGGCGTGTGTGTGTGTGTGTGTGTGTGTGTGTGTGTGTGTGTGTGTGTAAGATTGTAAGACCAGATGGGAGAGTGCTCATGTGAGGCGCATTTCTGGAACTAGTGAGGTAAGACTGAGGGGAAAGGATGGTAAGTGGAGAAAGAATGTGTTTCCCAATGGAGCAGGACTTCATACTGCCTCATTCATCATGGCCTCCTCTATGCCCGGCACATTTCTGGTTTAGGGTTAAGTCAAAAGTCAGTTCTTTTATCTTAAATATTTGACTGAATCTATATATGATATTTACATATCAATATCACATTCTTGGTTATATTCAAGCAGCCTAAAGAGTGTGCTAAGTCCCAATAAGTACTTTATGAGGAAAATTGGCTTCACTATAACCATTAAAAAATAATTTAGATAACAACTCTCTTAATGTTGACTTTGTTGCAGAAGCTGTTTATTTTATAAACTAGAGGCCCAGTGCACAAAATTCATGCATGGCAGCAGTCTTGTGTCCACATGGGGGTAGCAATCTTGTGTTGGAGTGATGGCCAATTTGCATATTACCTCTTTATTATATAGGATGTTGTGTTTCAGATAAAATTAAGTGGATTTAAACATAGACAAAATTGTTATATTTTTATGTTTTGAAATTTATATTAAAGTGTAAAATATGCACAGATAAAAAAAATGGCCTGCTATATTTGGTCAAACATTTAATTAATTCACTCCTAAAACCTTGGCAGGGCCAGACCAAATGATTTTGCATGCCTTATGCATACCAAATCCTTCTCCATTTATATCCTGCATTGGGACCACTTTTCATCCTCTTTAGCCCAGGCTTGGTTCTGAAATTCCATCATAGGTCTAGCACAACACAAACGGCTTCCTTCCTCATTTTCCCTCGCTTCTCCCTCTCAATGGTCTCCATCATTTCCACAGGAACAAATTTAGAGTGAGTAATACAATCGAAAAAAGGGTGAGCGTAGAAAAGAAGAGGGGTCTTTGGAGTAAAGAAATGTTCAATTTTTTTGCTGAAACCAGTTTGGCTTAGTGGGTAGAGCATCGGTTTGCGGACTGAGGGTCCCAGGTTCGATTCCAGCCAAGGGCATGTACCTTGGTTGTGGGCACATCCCCAGTAGGGGATCTCATGGATGATTCTCCCTCATGGATGTTTCTAACTCTCTCTATACCTCTCTCTTCCTCTCTGTAAAAAAACAATTATATATATATATATATATATATATATATATATATATATATATGGAGAGAGAGAGAGAGAGAGAGAGAGAGAGAGAGAGAGAGAGAGAGAAATGTTCAATTTTTTGTTCTGGGTATTGCTTATCTAAGTGTGTTTTAATTCACCAAGCTGTACAGGTGTTGAGTCTTTATGCATCTATTTAAAACTTTTTTTTTGTTTGTGTGTGTGAAATATATATATATATATATATATATATATATATATATATATATATATATATTTCTAATTGGGGTAAAACACACACAATATAAAATTTACTATCTTCATCATTTTAAGGGTACAATTCAGTTGCTCTAAGTATATTTACATGGTTGTGCAACCATCACCAGCATCCATCTCCAGAAATTTCATTTTGCAAAACTAAAACTCTTCCTAGTTACTGGTGACAGTTCTCCATCCTGCCAACCACTGTGAAAAGACAGAATGGCCACGTTTGCTCATTATATCTGAAATAATAAAAATTGTTATTCTGCCGAAACCAGTTTGGCTCAGTGGATAGAGCATCAGCCTGCAGATGGAAAGAATCCCAGGTTTGATTCCGGTCAAGGGCATGTACCTTGGTTCCGGGCACATCCCCAGTAGGGGGTGTGCAAGAGGCAGCTGATCGATGATTCTCTCTCATCGATGATTCTAACTCTCTATCCCTCTCTCTTCCTCTCTGTAAAAAATCAATAAAATATATATTTTTAAAAATTGTTATTCTGAAAATCCACTTAGTGATTCTGTCAATAAAAACAATTAATTAACCACAGAACTAGTGATTTAAATTTAAGGACGCTTTTTATTATTTATCTTATAAAATGGTTATTTTAAAAATATTTCCTTATTGATTTCAGAGAGGAAAGAAGAGGTAGAGAGACAAAAACATCAACGATGAGAGAGGATCATTGGTTGGCTGCCTCCTGAACACCGCCCTCTGGGAATTAAGCCCGCAACTGGGCGTGTGTCCTGGCCCACATCGAACCTGGGACCCTTCAGTCCATAGGCAATGCTCCATCCCCTGAGGCAAATTGACTAGGGCTAAAATGGTTATTTTAAGTAATAATTTAGTCTAGGAAAAATACTGTTATAGCACAAACATAACATTTTAGTAAGAGTTTTGTAAATATTATAATCTAAGTTAACATTTATGTACCAAACATCTTTAAATATAGTACCAGAGAGAGGCCACTACTTTTAGGATGTTTCCAATTCCTAACTGACTATAAAAAGTTTTGTTAGGACGTTCTATAATGCAAAGGAGAAAAATCCTCTAGGCAATAATAAATATTCACACCAGTAAACCTAAGCTTTTGTGGTATAATGTAAAATTAGTCAGAGAAGTACATTTTCTAACTTTAATGTTTACAACTGATATTTTAAAGTTACTTAGACTATCCCTGGGATGAGGCAAAGACAGGAATGTATTGTAAGTGTATTTGCAAAAACATTTACCCATTGAAATCTTGCCATACTCTCATAAATTAATGTTACAAATATCTGAAGAAAAAGCTTAAAAGAAAAAATTTTAGAAGAAGGATTTTATTCAGTAGTACTAGAGAATCAAAGGAAGTGTTAATAGGAGAGAGAAAAGCCTAAACTGAAAAGATATCTAATCTTGTTAGGTTAATTTCTTAAAAGTATGTCTGAATTGTATCCATAGTTCTTATTCTAGGTGTTCTTAGGTGAAAAATCTATGATCATTTACTTAAAGATTAAAGAAAGCCAGGGAATATCAGAATAGTCTGGCTTTCTCTTTTCCTTTTCCTTTTAAACTTAAGGTGTCTTTTTCCTATCAATTTCATGGGGAGAAAAATAATATATCAGTAAAAATACAGTTGTTTTTTTTTTTTTTTAAAGTGAACCCTACCTGGTTTGGCTCAGTGGATAGAGCATTGATTTGCAGACTCAAGGGTCCCAGGTTTGATTCCCATCAAGGGAACATGCCCAGGTTGTGGGCTAGATCCCCAATGGAGAACGTGCAGGAGGTAGCCAATCAATGATTCTTTCTCATCATTGATGTTTCTATCCCTCTCACCCTTTTTTTTTCATCCCTGAAATTAATAAAAATACATTTAAAAAAAAATAAAAAGTGAGTCTATAAATATTATTTAAAATTTAGAAAATGGATATGGGTACTATGAATGTGGTGATATTAAGTATTGCACAGTATGCAATGCCATCTGGATGCCTGGGCTTCTATACTCAGGGATGGAAGAAAATAAATGTCTCATATACTGTAGATTAAAAATAACGTGTGAGAAGTTAATAGGTAAGGCATGAGAGTTCAAAAATAAGCTTAGGGATGTAAAGAAAATCTATTAAATTGAGAGGTGAATCACTTCAGTGAAATTTCCAAATAATTAACAAGTTAGAAAAAATAATATCTGGAATTTGGCCCAAAGGGAGAGGTGATCTCTGTTTCTCTTGACATTTGGACATTTACAATGATGGATTGACCTTCTCAGTGGGAGGGAGAAGGAGCCCCACTTCAGGGTCACGGATCCCTCAAAGATGAGCTTTGTAAGATGAGCTTCATTTTTCACAAAAATTGAAATTAGAACATCCACCTGCAGAAATCCCATAGGCACTACTGCAGAATTTAATTTCTGTTTAAATGATGGGTTTTCAAGAAAGTGAATCTAATTTTACATCCTACCCAGGCTCTATGTGGGCCAAGTAGATTCTGGTCTACTTAGCATAATACTTGCCTCTTCATGACATCTACATATATATATATATATATATATATATATATATATATCTGGTCTAGTAATAATTAATGTCGTTTTTAAACATTCGTTTAAAATCTTGCTTGGCGTTGACTTGTATTGACATAACCTTCAAACACGTGGTATCTACAGAACGTGTGAAGTGCAATTAACAAGTTTTGCTTGAAAAAGTTTGTGTTTGGTTTGGTTTTTGTTGCAAAACTAGGGCTAAGAAGATGGCGGATGAAGAACATATTCGGCACTGCATGCTTCACGAGTTCCAATTAGGAAGAAAAGCAAGTGAGGCTGCAGAAAACATCTGTAGTGCTCTTGGTCAAGATGCAGTTAGCGCCAGAAAATGCCAGCGTTGGTTTGAGAAATTTCGCGAGGGAAATTTTTCATTAGATGACAAGAGTGGTCGAGGCCGTGTGTCCAATTTTGATCAAGAAGCTCTTCAAGCTCTTTTGGTGCAAAATCCTCAAATTACCCAACAAGAGCTTGCGACAACTTTAAATTGTTCACAGAAAACAATTTCCAATCAATTGCGTGCACTTGGCAAAGTCCAAAAGTTTGGAAAATGGGTTCCTCATGAGTTGACCGACAACAACCGTAATCAAAGAGTCACAATTTGCAGTTCGCTCCTCTCTCGTCAAAACCGTTTGCCGTTTTTAGAGCAAATTGTTCCCGGAGATGAAAAATGGGTGCTGTAGGTTAATTTGAAAAGGCGGCCTCAATGGTTGGACAAAAATGAGGCTCCGCCGCCCACGCCAAAACCTGACTTGCATGCGAAAAAAGTGATGTTGTGTGTTTGGTGGAATTTTAAAGGAATTCTTCATTATGAACTTTTACCATCTAACCAAACCATTACAAGTGCAGTGTATAGTGCCCAATTGGAAAGGTTAGCCCAAGCTTTAAGAGAAAAAGAACCCGCGCTGATTAATCGGAAGGGCGTAATTCTTCACCACGATAACGCACGACTGCATACTGCAAGAATCACTGCTGAAAAACTGCGCCAGTTGGAATGGGAAGTTCTCCCTCAACCTGCATATTCTCCTGATATTGCCCCTTCCGATTACCATTTGTTTCGTTCTTTGCAAAACTTTCTTCTTGGAAAAAAATTTAATAATGAAGAATGCCTCAAAAATGCATTGACCGAATTTTTTGCATCAAAATCACAAGAATTTTACAACAGAGGGATTAAAATGCTTCCTGAGCATTGGGCACAAGTAGTAGAAAACAACGGCAACTATATTGTTGATTAAATTTTGTTGTATTGTTTAAATAAATTCGATTTTAAAAAGTATTAGAAAACGACATTAATTATTACTAGACCTTAAAAAAAATATATATGTAAAGGCCAAATGACCAGAATGATGGAATGATCGAAATAACTGGAACAACGAGTCGCTATGATGCACACTGTGGTGGCCAACTGTCCTGACCAGGGCCCTAATTAGCCTCCAATTTCCCATGCCCCTCCCCCTGGCTGGCCCGTTCCCCGAGTTGCCCCCCCCACCCCCTGCCCTGATCAGGGAAAAGCCTGGCCGGCCAACCTCCCACAACTCCTACCCCCATCAACCAAACCCTGACCGGCCCCCATCAGGACCCCACCCATGCATGAATTCATGCACCAGGCCTCCAGTATAGGAATAAAAGTCAATTTTATTTTTTAAATTTTTATTATTGAAAGTTTACATATGTCTCCTTTTCCCCCCATTTATTCTCTCCAGTTTAAACTCCCCACACCTCACCCCAGGACCTCACCTCCCCATTGTCTATGTCCATGGGCTATGGATATATGCATGAAAAGTCCTTGGTTGATCTCTTCCCACCCACCCTCCCCTGCCTTCCCTCTAAGGTTTAACATGCTTCTATGACTGGGTCTATTTTTGATCATCAGTTTATTTAGTTCATTAGATTCCACATATGAGTGATATTATCTGATACTTATCTTTCTCTGACTGGCTTATTTTGCTCAGCGTAATACTCTTCAGGTCCATCCATGTTGACAGGGAACCTGTGCACAGGCCAAGATCAAGGAAGGATCTGCTTGGCTCTGCTGGCTCCACTGGCTCAGCTAAGGCCCCTCTGCATTGCTTGGCTCCCCAGGGTCCAGCACGGGCCTGGCCGCAGGCTCTCTCGCAGGTATTAGGGGATCGAACTTTGGTGGCCATTCTAAAAGCTGAAGAGCTCGGAGCTCCCTTTATGATGGTGATTTATCATCAGGGCTGAGATCTGTTCAGATTAGCAGTCTGCCTGCCCTGGAGAGTTTACCTGTTCAGGTGGTAGTTTTGTAGACTATGTTTTTTTTTTAATTGAAAAATATTACTAGAGAAGGCCTTCAAATATTTTTTATTGTCTATGAGAAACATAGGCATAGATTCTGTTTATACTAGTATATTTTTTTAAAAATTTTAATGGATTTTTAAGAGGAAGGGAGATAGAAACATCAGTGATGAGAAAGAGAATTATTATTTTTAAAAATATATATATTTTATTGATTTTTCTTACAGAGAGGAAAGGAGAGAGATAGAGAGATAGAAATGTCGATGAGAGAGAAACATCAACCAGCTGCATCCTGCACACCCCCTACTGGGGATGTGCCCGCAACCAATGTACATGCCCTTGACCAGAATCAAACCTGGGACCTTTCAGTCTGCAGACGGACGCTCTACCTCTGAGCCAAACCGGTTTCAGCGAGAAAGGGAGATTGGCTATTTCCCTCACGCCCCACACTGGGGATCGAGCCCACAACCCCAGGCATAAACCCTGACTGGGAATTGAACTGTGACCTTCTGGTTCATAAGTTGGTGCTCAACCACTGAGCCATGCCGGCCAGCCTGTTTATATTTTTTATCACAAAACACAATACTTTCAGTCTGTTTACGGTATTTCTGGGATAATAAATGGAAATATTGTAGAATATTACCATTATCTTTCACTTTTCTTTAATATATAGAGTTAAAATTATTTGCATTAAGAAGTAAACACAGAAGTATATAAAGTCAAAAGTGGGAGTCCCATTTCTCAGCCCTGCTTGGAAGTATCAGCATGAAACCTCAGTGAATTTCCTTCCAGTCTTTGCTATGCCATTGAAATAGTTTCTTCTGAGGGTCTTCAGGAACACAGAGCTAACTCATGAAAGATGGCAGGTTTTTGCTAGGAAAATACCAGAGACTAGTGGTTAGTTTGGCCTCTTCCGTTTCTTTGAGAAGCTGAGTAACCCATCCAGGGATATAAGCCACTTGGTCATGTGACTAGGTAACCAGTCTCTCAGACTTAAGGGCCAGAGTGGAACCCAGAATGATGGGGAGCTGCTCACTGCTGCCACCTGCTGTCTGCAAGGGTCACCGCAGGTGCTGCCTGCTCCCAGGCCCCTGGGGCTTCCTCAGGATGGCAGGGCCCAGCCAGCACCAGCCTCTTTGGGACCCTCCTGCACCTGCACTGGCATACCCTCCCTCCACAAAACCTCACCATTGCTCTGGAGTTTGTATTTCCAAATGTAGCCATTGTTGCTTTGTTAGGGTAACCATGAAAATGAAAAACAAAAAAAACATACATAAACATACACTACTTCCTCTCAAAAGAGGTATAGTGAGCGATATTAGCTGTAATCTGGTTACAGTGAATGGCCTGTCACCAGGTTCCAAGGTAGGCTTTGTCCTCGGGTTTCTATAAGCACTTCTGTCACCTGGGTTTTGGAATCTCACCATCTAGGCCTGTAAATGCCACAGTCCGATGATTTCTTGGTCATCACTCATCTGTGTGTGTGGGGGAAGATGACTTATTTTTAAAAGCATTTTAAATCATCTTATATAGCACAGCAACTCTTTAAAGAGTCAGTATTATTTGGCTTTACTTCTCTTAATTGTTAGGGGGAAAATAACCTAATATATTCAATTCAAAAATTTCAGGTTCCTTATTAACTGTGATATCTACTTTAATATATATATATATATATATATATTAAAGTATATATATTAAATATATATAAAGATATATATATTTAGGGCAATTTTGAATCACAGTAACTCAAGAAAGTGTGAATTTTCCCATTTTCCCTGCTTTTTTCAAGAGAGAGACCTCAATATGAACAGATATTTGCACACCCATGTTTACATTGATTAAAGGTGGAAACAATTAAAGGATAAACAAAACATGGTCTATATGTAAGTGGCATGTTATTCAACCTTAAAAAGGGAGGGAGCCCAGTCAGATGGCTCAGTTGGTTAAAGTGTTATCCCAATTCCCCAGGGTTGTAGGTTCAATCCCCAGTCAGGGCACATACAAGAAGCAACCAATGAATGCATAAATGAGTGGAACAGCAAGTCTATATTTTCCTTTCTCCTCTTCCTCCTCCTCTTCTTCCTCCTCCTCTTCTTATTCCTTCTACTCCTTCTTGTTCTTCTCTCTAAAACCAATCAATAATTTTTTTAAAGGGAATTCAGACACACTCTACAACATGCTTGAACCTTGAGGACATTGTACTAAAAATAATAAGCCAGTCACAAAACAACCAATTCCACTTATATGAGGTACCCAGAGAAGTCAGATTCATAGAAACTATGAATCTGACAGAAACTATGAATCTGACAGAAACATCTAAACAGAAATTAGATGATGGGTGTCAGGGCTGAGAAAGGGGGATGGGGTTTAGTGTTGAGTGAGGACAAAGTTTCAGTTTGAGAAGATGAAAAGGCTTGGAGACAGACGGTAGTAATGGTGGCAGAACAATGTGAATGTACAAAATGCACCAGAACCATACAACAAAAAATAGTAAAATTTATGTTATGCATATCTTTCTACAATAAAAAGTTTGATAATGATATTGTGTAAAGACTAGGAAAATTAAGAAAACAACTCTTTTGCCCAGCCAGCATGGTTGAGCATCAACCTGTGAAACAGGAGGTCATGGTTAGATTCCCAGTAGGGGGGTGTACAGGAGGCAGCCAATCAATGATTCTCTCTCAGCATTGATGTTTCTCCCTTTCTGGGCCCTTCCTTTCTGAAATCAATTAAAAAAAATATATTTTTTTAAAGAAAATTATTTTTTTACACTTGTCATAATTTGTATTTTCTAGGTAGACAACTAAGATACTTATCACACCATTTAATTTTTAGTTGACAAGATTGCCTGCTTCTTATTTGACTTCAAGAAATATAATGTTGAGGATAATTTCAGAGGAAAACATATGTATATACACATATGTGAAGCTTTTTAGAGCTGAAATCTCAATTGTAGGAGCCATGTCTGTGTTCTAGTAAGATCTCTAGGGGAAAAAAAAAAAAAAAAAAAAAAGGCAGGCCACCTTGCTACTCTCTGAGCCAGGTGCCTCTCCAACAGGGGCGGAGGCACTACTCTCAAACTTTCTACTTTTTATCAACCACTATGATATGCTTACCGAGAGCGCCCCCTTGTGGTTATTTCTGGAACTGCTACTCAGGGCCACACGATCTATGCTTTGTAAACATGATGCAAGTCCAAGAAATATTTGTGGCAGCCCAGAGTAAATGCAGTCATCTTCTCTGAGGTCATGCGAGAGAAGAATTTAATGGTTCTTTTTTTTTTATTGATATCAGTAAAAAGGGAGAGGGAGAGAGAATAGTTGAAGGATTGCCTCTTATATGCAGCCCTGAGGATTGAGCTTGCAACCTGGGCACATGCCCTGACCAGGAAATCAAACTGTGACTTCCTGATTTATATGTCTATGCCCATGCTGGTGGGCTTTGTATACATTTTTTTTAATACTGTCCTATCATTTTTTTATTTTCTTGTGATGATTTAACCTGAAAGTTCAGAAATGACAAACTTCATTTTATTCAATTAATCCCATATTCATCGGCATAAAATAATCTTTGCATAATGTATTTGCATACCAGTTTGGTGTCTCCATTTCTTGGGTTAGCCTTTTCTACCCATATTTTAACATTTATTTTACTTTTAATTTCTACTTTCATACATTTTTACCTTATTTGTTCCTTTGACAAAACTGTTTATTTCCACAGGTGCCAGTGGGAGGCAGAGGGAACATAAGTAGGCAGTAGGGGGATATCCCTACCATATTTTAGCCCTGATCACCAACCTTGAGAGCTTCCCTGACACCCCGCCCCTCCTCAGTTTCTAGGCCCCTGAGAGTGGAGATCCAGGTGCTCACCCTTGGTAATCGTCTGAGCAAACAGGTGCTGAGTCGGTCTCATCAGAAGCATCAGAGTTAGAGGCTCCATGGGACTGAGATGTATAGACCCTGAGACAGGACACTAG